TCTTGAGCACTGCAGTCACTTTATGTTGAAGCCTCGTCCAACTGTTCTGTGTTTTCTTGACTGTGTTCAGTTCAAGGCTCTCTGCCCTGTTGGTAATCTGTCACACATTTCCTCCAGGTACTCACTGGCCAGACTGGTTCTCTCCCCCTCCCACTTTTATTACCCTTGTCACGTGTTTTGTTCCCAGCAGCTTGAGTAGGCGCTTTCATCTCACCGACCACACACAGGCAGTAAATCCTCCTCACCAAACAATTGTTCANATTTTTGAATTTAGGGCCGAATTTATGTTTGCCACGTAAGGGGCAAACGCCGAAAAAAGCAGAGTAAAGCATGTCAAAAACAGCTCGGATCTACCCACAAGTAATCACACTTTGACGTCAATTTGTCCCCTAATTTAAGGCTTTCCATGACAAGAAATATACAACACTTACTTTGGCTTTCTTGTTCTGTGCCTCTGACAGGAGCTGTTTTGCTGTTCTTAACGCGTCCAACTGATGCTGCATCGTGGCGCTCTCTTTCGTGGTCTGTTTGGTCACCTTGTCCAATCGCTTAGCCTGTACTCGACGTGATTTTTCCAATCTGTCCACTGTGTCGCGTAGCGATTCAATCTGTGCCTCCTGTGATCGATACAAATCAGGCATTGGAAAAAAGAGGATCCCAATTTTCACAAACATTTTTTGGTTCTATCCGAAAAGCGTTAAACGTGATTACGGGAAACGACCACATGAAACAGGTCTGGCGTTGACAGTGAAACAAAATCAGGTCAACCTATTCCGCTCCTTTCCCGTTCTAATCAGAACACCTGTGTAACCTAGCCAAATATAAATGTAACAGCTCCACTGGTCACTGTGCAAGCAACTAGGGTTCTGAACTTTCATTCGTTCATTTGATGGAATAAATCTGATTGTAACAATTAGCCAGCAGTTCTGAAGATATGGTTTGAGAACTTGTGATCCAGAGAACTAAATGTACATAATACATTGTGCCATACGCGCTACATATTTTCCAAATCTGAGCTGTAACTTTTGAACTACCAGAAATTTTATCGCAACGCTCAAGGTTACGGAAATTCAAACGGCGATAGAAGAAAACTAAGAACATAGAAGTGGGAGATAAAATCAGGAATAAATATAATTTACCCATAGCCATCAATATACAAGTAGCATTTTGGAGACTGAAATACATTTCCAAAATGAGAGTGATGTACGGGTTTGATCAACATCTGTATGTGTATATCCTGGTCGACCAGGTGACCCCGTCTTACCAAGTAATACACTGTATTTCATCCCAACTATATTTCGAAGCCAATTCTAACTACTGCCAAAACCGAAACTATGCCTTCACTCAGAGAAGGAACAGTGAGAAGAATGAAAAGTTCAATCCTGCAACATTTGGTCGACAGTGGACACAGAATTGCTGATCTGTAGCGGTCGTCTGAATAAAATCCATTGTATGCTGTTGCACATACAAGCATACACACTTCATACTGAATTCGTTTTAATGTAATTGGAACATCAAAATTGCAATACAGGATTATGTTCGGTTTTTGATTGTATGGGGTCGGTTCGACCAGAAAGCATATTTTAGTCAGATATCGTGACTTGCTCACGTAGTTTTGGTTTGGGTAAGATCAATACTTGGGCCAACAGGCACATCGTATGCGCTCTGTTGTCTTTTCCGAATGAAATATCCCTAAGTGAAATATTCTTCACTTTTCTACAACCTGCCCATGAGAAGCTAGCAGTATTATTTAGATCCATCTAATAAATTGTCTAGTTTCTTATACCTGAATATTTCAGATCCTGGTTAGATCACCTGTGTTTGGTGAAACAAAGTAGTTCCGTCGCCTAGTCGCTCACCTTGGTCTGTTCCAACTGTGCCAAATCTTGTGTCAAGGTGAGAACCTTTTGATGCTCGTTTTCGTAATCCAATTGCAGTCGAGCTAACAGCTCTTGGAGTGGCCCATCGTAGCGATGATCATCGTTTGTGACAGGTTTTGAATGCTTTACGGCTTGCAGTTGCTTGAACAAGTCCTGAATGTGGCCACAAATGGCCAGACACATGGTCTGGGCACATTTATCACACAGTTGGTGTACCGAGTACTGCTGTTCGGCGTTCAAAACACCGTCATTGCGAAGAACCGCACTGATAAGCTGTGGCAAGCTGTGATGGTCGCATGGGTTTTTCAAGGAGATCGCAACACATGGAGTAGTTGGACGGTGGCTCGGCGGGGATGAGTAATGATGATGATGTTGATGATGACATTGGGTATGTACCTGATCGGTATCTCGCGTGCCACGAAAACTTGGTGAACCCGTCCGACTCGTTTCGATGCTACTGTTGTGATTCCGGTTCAAACATGTTTGAGATAGGCAGCCCCGGGCGATCAATCGTTCAAGTCCGTCTGTACACATAAGTGAATGGGTGGAAGGAAGTGTTTGGCCGGGTTTGACAAAATTGTGAAAGCTATCATGACTACTCATGAGTAGACTAGACCGAACAAATAAATATTCGTTCATACACTAAGCGCAACACGGCATCAAACATTTGAGTAAAATCCGTATCTGAGAGTTACCAGCAATCTGTACCATGGGTTATATGCATTATTTGGTGTTTATATGTACTGAGACGTACGTCCACATATGAGAACACAATTTATCTTTATGGACAAGTTGACATTTGAAGAAATTTTATTGACTTTTGAAAGAACACGGCACTTTCCCATTAGATGTATAAGACATCCTTAAAACTGGTTAAACGCATGAGTATTTGCAGTCTGCATGACGCGATTTACCTATTCTAATTGTCGATATTGCGTTTGTAAGAGTGAGATAGGGTGGAGGGAGGAGAACTACACCCACCAGTTGAACTTTCACACACACACACACACGCACGCACACACACACACACAGACACGATGACCCTATTCACTTGGACTGGTACATTATCGGGTTAGTTTGTGCATTGAATTGGATCAGTAGTTGCGGTATACAGTAAAGATGGTTGGCTAACCTCATGTTTGCAAAATTTTGTATCGGTCTATCAGGATGTGTAACGAAGAACTTAACAAACTCCTAGCAGTTATTTGTTTGCATCAATCTTCCTTAAAATTTGCTTTTCAACTCACTCCTCTATTTGAGTGTTCCACTTGAAAATAATCGAATTTTATTGATTTCCTTCTCGAATCATAGGCGTCACAATGTGAGGCAATGCGTGAGTTGTACGAATTGACTGTGGAGCTGATAAAGTGCCCACCGTTTTACTTTCGAGCAAGGTGTTTGAGATTTTTCTGATCTCAAACTATACGACAGAACATATTCGTTATTCTGTTCAATTTATCCGGGAGGTAGCAAAGGATCGCACTGCTGAAGATATGAATACGGGCTTTCACGATCGTTCTTCTGCTGTACGTGCAACAGCACATTGTCCCAGAAATGCCTCCTATCTGCTCCCCCACCCGCAGCTAATATACTGATGGTTCTCTATGTTTATCGAATGTATAGTGTTTGATCCGCTTTGAAGAAACTGTCAAAGGTATTTCGAGAAACCAATGTGATTCATGAGAATAAAACTGATCGAGAGAAAATATAGTCTTCCGAGTCATTTTCTTTCATGTCAGAGCCACTGGGAAAGGAGGGTGAAATTGAATATGTGAGAAAGTTTTTGAAGCACATTTAGAGATAGATGTTAGCCCTTTGGTTAATTTCGAACAGAATGCCAGTGTTGACGCCATAAAAAGTTTAAATTATGCATAGTGCATCAATTGGGTCAAAAGTGCTTCATTAGCTCACATAGATAGTACACTAGGGACAACGTACAATTACGTGGCTCGTTTTTGTACGCATAATGATCATTCTGATAGAGGGACTTATTTTAGGTGATATTTTACAGGTCTCCAATCACTTATCCCCAGTATCAGTCGGCTTCTGCGGAGTGATACATCAAAAATGGATTTTAATTTCTGTCTCGCTATTATTTCTAAGTTTTTGAATACAGATCGATTTTGAAAAAGCGTCCCATCGGAATTTTCATCCCGGTTTAAACCAATTTCTGTGTGCGCAGAAGCTCTACTTGATGACCACGGAATGAATACAGTTCAGGGACAACCATCAGTATATGCTCAGCGGAGCTCTAGGTGATAAGGTGCTTCTCGAACCGCGAATAAGAGAACGGTGTCTTCTGTGGTTAACTGAATGAATAGCCGCGTACTATCCGCAGTGATGTGACTTCGTTACGTTCTCTTACCAGTCGGTTGATTTTCATGCAACGAAAGTTAGGAACGTCTGTTGAGGCCATTGTGAAGTGCAGGAATGAGGATATCGCCGTTAATCCGGTGCTTCCCAATGACCCTCTTGAGGATATAGGCTTAGTGCCGCTTTGCAACTGATTCGTATGATTTTTAAGTGATTCATCAACCCGGGAAAAATGCTGACCAAAATTAAAATAAAGTGCTCCAAAGAAATCGATCAAAGATGAATCAGAACAATGCAAAATCTTGCGAAGCAATTTGTGATCTCTGCAGAACACATTGTGATCGAAAACATTCAGGCACAGGGGTGAACATTTTTTCCCATGTACCCTGTTGTGTGGTGACCTCAAATTGCTGGGCTCTTGAGACTGGTGCACGAAATGATCTCTTTATTGATCGGGTCGATCGATTCCGAGAGCAGTGCGTACTCACACACACTTGATTACCGCAGCCCAACAAGAAGCTTCATTGCTCTGGGTTTCCTCAAGCAAATCACCACGGTTCTCGTTTCAGCTTGGTCTGTGGTTTGGTACATGCACTTTTCCCATTGTCATAAAGCACTAAGTGATATAAATAGCTTCAACCGTAGGAGCTGAGCATAACAAACTGGAATAGGATAGATGGAAGCCGTAAAGCTAGTGACGAATGAAAGAATGAAGATTCCTCGATCATCTTACAAAAAAACAGTTCTTTGATAGATGCTTCCTGTTCGATATCTTAGATTCAGCTTGAGAGAGGTTTCATTTCATTGGAAAAACGTATACTCTGATCATGGGTATTCTTCTATCATTGACTTAGTATCAAGGCTTGACTTTTGTAGCTCAGATTGGTTACATTCAGTTTCGCTCGTTTGCTGAGCTTCAAAATAATTTGCAAACATTTCATCACCAGCCGAAAGGATGTCTTCGGTTTTTGTAGATCGACTGTATTCTGCTTCTGTCCGTTCCTTTGATTAATTCCGTCCTCGGCTCGATGTTATCTTTGTTCCCAATCTTCTCTTTTTACTCTTGATCCTGGATGTGGATCGATTCGTAAACGTGATCCGAGTTGAGGCGACAATGGACGAAGTTAATCGAACAATGATAACGAGCTGCAAGAAATTCTCTGACGTGTTTTGACCGGTCCTGGCCACTGATTCTCACTGATATTAAATCAGATTGGTATCCACTTAGTCTGTATGGAGCACAGAATGGAAGAGCGAATCATGCCTACTGATTGCCAACTGGTGTTCACGAATTCTTATTGATAATATTTTCTGGAGTCTGTCTGATCTATTTGGAGTTTAGAGCAATTCTGGCCATGAATTTCAAGGATAGTATTGTTCTGGATTTTGTTTTCTCACGGTTTTCTTGTCCGATTTTGAAAGAGTTTTCCGTAGAGCAGATAGTTGATTTGTGGGTCATGTAAATTCCATGTGGGCTCTGTAGTCTTGCAGTCATGTCTGAAACATCCTTGATAAATGGTCGGATTGTTCTTGTTCCTGATTCTCNTTCTCCGTTCGCTGTTTGAGCCCTTCTTTGGATGGAAATTTGGTTCATAATGCACCGAGCAAAAGAATTATATGAAGGGATGACTTTCATTTTTTTCTGCACTGTGTTTGCACTCGTCTAAAAATAATGATGACAGATCTTTTGTGCCAGTTTGGATGATTACTTGTTAATTTTCGCATTTGACTCGTTGCTTTGCGTTGATTTGCGGTAACCCATTATCCACACGATCCCTGATGATATTCCGATGATAAAGATGCTGAGGCATGCCAATTCGATACCCTTCTTCTTTGTCTCTATTGTAAACTTGGACGAGTTGTTGATGATGATTTCTGTTTGTATCTAGCTCCGACCTCAACAAGGTGACGAATATTGAATCCATTCTGCCATAAACTGATCCGTTGATCGTTCGTAGTAGACTCCCTTCAGCACACACACACACACACACACTCCGCACCATGTCATCACAAAAATAAAAGCGCGCCCCTTGAACGGCTGCGCNCCTTTGCCTTCTGGAATTCATCGACCCAAATTGCTAAATATGCGTGCTTTAAACATATACCTAAAGGAATTCATGTTAAAAATTAGGGATGTTGTTATGAAAAACCATACTGCCATGTTTGGAGTGCCAGTTGCTAGTCAAGCGCACAAATACTGTAAACGCGGAAAACGCATTCGTGCCGGTTGGAAAACTGCTCTTGGTTGTACTACTCCCAGCAAGATGACCGTAACTACCACTGTGAGTAACAATGTCCGTTCTGTATTTGGGAAGCTTCCGGACTTATCCTACCGGCGAAAGGAATTTCGCACCTATTATGTCTTGCGTTTTCAGGAGTCATGGCTCAATGAGGATGTGGACGATTTCGTGGTCCAACTGGATAATTTCATCTGCTTCAAACAGGATAGACAGTGGTGTAGGAAAAAGTTGGAAGGCGGTATGATTACTTACAGCAATTCCAATTGGTGCGGCAAGTCCGAGATACTTTTTAAGCGTTCACAGAATTGCTTGACTATCGTTTGTTGCCCCAACTTCTCCCGCTTTTCTTTTATCGCTATCACTAATTTATACATTGCATCCCAGCGTGGATTGTCAGACATTGACACATTTTATGATAATTTCCTACCGGTTATTGCCCCATTTCTTGCTGACAGCTTGCACCTAATAGCTGATGACTTAAACCACGCCTCCTGCACCCTTTAGTCTGTCTAAACCGCAGTCACCTGATCATTGAACCAACTAGAGGAAACTCTCATCTAGACCACATAATCACAAACCACGCTGAAACATTTTCCACCAAACAGCTGTTCCCCTTAGGCACCATTGATTACAACCTGATCCTAGTCAAACCTAAGATTTACTCACACTCAGGACATTTTTCTTTTACTCGACCCAAATACATCATTTTCCGTCAGCGAG